ATGGAACGTACCAGGGCTGAAATGCATTGCTGGACTCCACAAACAAACATTTTTTTCTCTGTCAGGGATAGCAGCACCATCCTGTCATAAGCATTGATCCTATCTTTTAAGTCCTTTCATCTGAAGATTGCCTCTGCTGAAGTAAATTGATCTAGTCTATGGTGTCTAACAAATGCCGAGGCAGAACTCCAAAGGGCCACTGCACCAAATGTCAATCAGCAGAATCCTAGGACAAAAGATGGCAGACCGAGTTGGATAGAATCATGAAGTTGGACGGGGCCTATAAGGCCATCAAGTCGAACCCCCTGATCAATGCAGGAATATAAACCACCCACTCAAAATGGAGTGAGTAGTCACACTCCAGGCACCATTGAATCAGAAACATCAAAGAAATGTCAAAGCACATGGCAATTTAAGCTTTGATCCATCTTGATAAGAACGACTTGGAAATTCTTCTGGCCATGGTTGCCTGCTAGAACATTCCACGCTGATTCCATTGGCAGTATGGGTTCCTATTGTCTTTAGCTGAAAAGGTCTTTAATGAGAAAAGTAATCTTGGTGAGCTTTTTGTCATCTTTCTTTTTGCCTATTGGGAGGGCTTGGCTTTTATCTTTAGCTTCTCAGAGCTGGATCTAACAATTTGCCAAACAATTTAGTACCTCCAGAAGGGTGTTAGAATGTACTTGGCCCTAAAGTCAATCTACCAGTGTTTCAACTAGATCTAGGATGCACTTAAGCTGTTTCACATCTGGCACAAAACTGAATGGCATTTTGGACTGGCATCTGCTATACTAGTGTCCTCTTTTAATAATTTGATTTCCTCACGTAATTTGATGTTGCCCTGTTGGGTGTATTTAAAGGCTTCCTTAACCTCTAGATAAGAGGCCCCGACAATGATGGAAACTGTGAAGGATGCACACATGGCCAAAGAAAGGGTCTTATAAAGGAGCCATCTTGAGGCAGATCCTTCTCACCTTGATTTTTGAGTCCAGTCCGTAGCATGAACAAAATCAAGAGACCAAAACAATCACACATCATCCACTGGGGTACCTGAAGCCAGGTCATTAATGACTTTGGATACTTTTTAAAAAAATTACCATATTTTTCTGTGTATAAGACGCCCCCCACTTTTCTAATCCAAAATTAAGAAAAACAAGTGGGGTTTAGGAAGTGCAGGGGGAAAGGGATGAAAGCGCTGCAGGGTCGCTTTGATCCCTGCTTTCCCCTCCACTTGTTTTTGTTTTCTCCTCAACTTACTTCCATGTATAAGACGACCCTCAATTTTTAGTCTAAAGATTTTAGACAAAACTAGTCTTATACACGGAAAATACAGTATTACTACTACTACTGGGATGGGATGCAGCTGGCTTTTCATATCATCATTTGGTGTCTATAAAATTGCTGGGCAAGGGGCTGTGAGATTGGGAAAGTCTAGGTACCTTGTCTTTTCTGGCATCCCTGCGCAATTTAGTGCAATGGCCCTGCTGGCTTTGTGCGGAATATTGCAAAACCCTCTACCTTAAAACAACCAAATAGATAGGTTCAGAGAGGGTGTTGAGGCCCTCTTCCACACATATCTGAAGGTAGGAGAGACACAAAGGAGGGACCCTCAGTTCAAGTGCAAGTGGAGGGCCTGAAGGGACCAAGGCTGTTGCCATCTGAAACTTTGTTTCTTAAGTATAGGTGTGTGTGTGTGTGGGGTGTCCTCCAGTCACTGGGTCTCATTCCATAGAGACGCTGTTTGTCCTCCAGTCACTGGGTCTCATTCCATAGTAGGTTAGTAGGATGGCAGGCCCAGTTCTTTCCCCCCTTCTAATCTAATGTGGCAAAGCAGGCAGGCCCAGTTCTTTCCCCCCTTCTAATGTGGCAAAGCTGGCCTTAGAGGTCCTCTTCTCAAGAGGACAGAATGGGAGAGGGGAAGAAGAGAATTCCCAAATTTGCTGCCCTGTGTAATGCTCTGAGGTGACTGTTACTTCCTTTTCTTTGGTGGCAAGCTACTAAAGCTGGTGGGCAGGATGATGAGAGCATTCTGCAGCAGAGGCAGGTGGTGGCCTGAGTAGACTTACTTGATGTCCCAGTCTAGGGGGCGCCATGATGCATCCTGATTAACTGAACCTGCCTCTTCGAGCAGGAAAGAACCCATCAGAGGATGTCTTCTGTATTACAGGTAAACTAATCAAATGGAAAACATTAGCAATTCCAAACCTTGATGTTATATATTCAGTATTTCATGGCACAGCGAACTTTAGATCCATGTGTTTTTACTCTCCTACTGTTTTCAATAAGTGAAACATACTGTACTTGTCAATATATGGTGACACATTCTGATTTGAGCAACTGAGCTGTTTACACCTTGGGGGTAAAAAAATGAAAATAATGAAACAAAAGTATGTTTGCATTTTTACAGGACACTTACCTGCTCACTTGAACAATTTCATGCTTTCATTATGAAGTACCAAAATCTAACTGCTGAGAATGTAACACTGAGAAAGTAAGATTGTATCTTTTATTTGGGCTGATTAGCACTCTAGTGTTGGCTGAACAATCTGTTCTTTAAAAAAAACTATTCAAGATGCATGTTTGGAAAAAAAGAATTAGTAAGGAAATAGTAATTCTGTGAAAGGCTTAGCAGCTCAGTCTGAAGGAGGAAGAAGTTTCTGGACACTTGCCTATTCTTCACTTTTTATGGCCCTACCGAAAAAAAACAACACCCAAAAACAAAAAGGCGCATGCACACACCAGATTGTGATACCAAATTCACCTGTAGGCTGAAATCCAGTAATCAGTCACAACTAAAGTAGGCCAATTTGAATTAGTGGAACTTATGGAGGCACTGACTCACCAATTCCCCACTGATTCAAAGGGTCCACTCTGGCTTCAGCTTACTACTGGATTTCAGTCAGTGAATAGGCACATTAAGTTATTCACGCCACAGTATTTGGACTGCAACTGTTATCAGGTCCAGCTTAAACGGGAAGAATGCTGTAAGCTGCAGTTCAACATCTGGAGGGCAGCTTTGCCCACGGTAGTAATAATAGTACTGTAAGTGAAATCTCAAGTTCTTATTAAAGTTGTATGTAAAACTATTTTCAGCAGCCAAGTTCCATTTTCGTCAAGAGTTCAGAGGGAATCACTCACCTATTATCCTTGCATATATGAAGGAAAGTCACAAATTTACACCTTCACCTGGAAAATCAAGTTTTATGGCATTCAAAGAAACAAAAACATAAACTATTTTATTTGGTAAAATTGTTTGTGGGCAACAGTCTATCAGATGTATTTCAGGGCTGCATTAGATTACTGCAAAGGACTAACATGGCAACCCCTCTGATTTTTATCATGGAAGACAGAAGGCCAATACTGTACAGATCCCGATACAGTATTTGGGACATCTAATGCGTTTAATAGGAAACCCTAAGGTACACAAAAGCCCTCTTCAGGTTCTACTTGTAGGGATCACATGTATGGACAACATCCTACTTATCACTCCCAAGAGATGCATTCAGCCATAAATGTCATACAGACTGGAACTAGTCTGGCCTCCCATATTTCCTGCCACTTTATCATATACAGTATTCTGAAATATTCAAATGAAAGTCTCGTTGTGCGAGGCACCACTGTATTCTGAAATATTCAAATGAAAGTCTGCATAAGGAGCAGCCATGTCTTTGAAAGCACATTGCCAGAGTCCAATCCTAGATGGTACACTGGCCTAAGTACGCTACTGTAGCATTTCCCTTAAGTTATGCATTATAAGTTATGCATTATTCATGTTATATGTTAATGTGTTTAAAGGGCGCGGCCAAAAGAGATGCTAAAAAGGCAGAGACTGAGAGTCAGAATCTGAGTCTGGATCAGGGAGAGGAGGATAGTTTGGGGGTTTGTGTAACCTGTGATAATATGGAAGGTTAATATTGTTGATAGATGAATCTTGAAGAATGTGCTTATGAATTATTCCAGAAACCACCTGTAATTAATAAACCTGTTTTGTTGGAAAGTCGATACTGGATGGACCTTAGTCTTTTCTAAGTAAACTAAGTTGAGAAAAGAGATCAACTGGTGGCAGCGTATCGGAGGGCGTGCTGAGGTCCCTTGTGAGCTCTGTTTGGGTAAACAAGCAGGGGCCACGAGGGCTAATGCCACAAAAGCTACCAAATAAGAATGTTCAGAACCCATGATATCCACTCTTTTGACATATGCATTAACAGATTCAGTAAATACACCTGCCCCCACATTTACTTAATTAAAATATTTATACACCACCTTTCTCAAGAGAACCCAAGGCGAGGTCTTATTGTACACTGATCATTAAGAGATTTGTTTATCTTGACGTTGTATGAGAACTGCAAATATCAAAGTCTGACAGTCATCTAGACTTGTTTCTTGCTCATGAATTTATTTCAATTAGTATACTATAAGAACTGCACATATTTCTCTTCTGGGTATAGGGAAACATCAGTTTGCTTTGATGTCAAGTTAAACCCATGTCTAAGGGAATTACTTTTTCATTAAAACCCCATGTCCACCTTAAGAAAGGAGACACAGTTACGGAACAAAGCATTTCTAAGTGCATGCTCAACTCAATTTTATTTTATTTTTTGGTACTAGAACTTGACCATGAACACAAATCCTTTTACATTAAAATCTACTCATTCTCTCCCACAAAGATAGCAGCCCAATCTAATAGAGGAGCACAGGCCTTTTGTTATTGTTAAGCAAATGAAGGTCAAAAACTACTGCTGCTTTACTGCAAATCTCCACTCTATAATAATTTAGCATTTGCCTGCCCTTAGCTTACAGTATGATGGAATCTAAAACAATACGAATTAATCTGACATGACATTGTTGATGAATTCAGATTTTGCCTGAAGGACTGGACTCTCTGAATGCCAAGTTCCTTGCTCTCCATTTATTTATTTATTTGAAAGAAGCACGAGACTCATGATGGCATATTTAATTGGGGGGGGGACGACAACATAACAAAACCATTACAACATGTGGTCAAGCAAAAATAGTCTTTATTCAAATTTAATGGAAACAGGGACCACTGTACTTTGCAAGACAGGGAAAAATAAAAAAAATATAAAACAAGGATATTGTCACAATACCAGAATGTGGAAGTCTACTTTCCCCCCCTTCCCTTCCTATTGTTCATTGTAGGTATCTAGTTTCCTGACTGTGCTATTCACAAACTCTGAAAGTCGGAATTATGAAACAAAAAAAGTAATATGAAATTTAAGACTTTTCACTTTTCACTAAATGGCATACATCAAAGGGCATCATTTAAGGGCAAATTGTTGAAGTTACCATACCTACCTAGGAGTCATCATTCCAATCTTAGAAGCCCATCAAAGTGTAGTGCTCATTCTCTATTGCTATTCTGGAAACCCAGGATGATGTGTGGTGCTCCAGCAAGGCTCTCAGCCTCTAATATCAGAATAGGCAAGAGAGAAAGAGCACTGGACTGAACACTTACAGATACACCATGGGGGGAGGGTATTAAAAATGTACAGCAGTGACGTGTTCTACTCCAATCACTTGTGCTACAACTACCAAACATGTACAAAAGACTTCTCATAGAGCTCTAAGTGTGGTTGCAGCAACTTTAGGATCTCGAGCGAGACCGTGACCTAGATCGTGAATGTGATCTAGAGGCAGACCTCGATCTAGATTTGGATTGGGATCTTGTTTTTGAAACTGATTTGGATCTGGAACGAGATTCCGATTTTACATTTTGTTTAGATTTGGAATTTGACCTTGACCGGGACTTACCCCTGGTGTCCTCCATTTCCTCATCTGCACTTTTTACTTCCTTTGTAACAGGTTCTATTTTCATATGTTCCTTTTCCTTGGATCGAGATCTGGATCTAGATCTAGACCTTGAACGTTCTTGATCCTCTCTTTTTTTCTTCTTGCTGCTGCTAGATTTGCTATCGCGCTTACTCCGCCTCTTGCTTCTCTCACTTCTGCTGCGACTTCTACTCCTGCTCCTACTGGCATCCCTGCTTCTTTTCCTCCCTTTCCTCTTATCCTTGCTCTTGCTACGGCTCCTGCTCCTGCTCCCCTCTTTGCTCCTGCTCCTAGCCTTGCTGACACTCTTTTCCTTCTCTTTACTCCTACTGCCCCTTACACTCCCCCTCTCTTCCTCTTCCTCTTCCTCTGCTGCCTTCTCCTTACTACCGCTCCTACTCCTGCTTTTACTCTTACTCTTTTCCTTGCTGGGACTTCTGCTCTTTGTTTGGTCATCATCGTCATTTTGAACCACATCCTCTGGCTTGTCTTTGCTTTTACTTCGGGATTTCTCTGCACTTCTGCTGCGGCTTCTGCTTTTATCATCTTTACTTGGACTCCTGCTTTTTTCCTTTTGGCCTCTGCTATGACTTTTGCTTCTACTGCGGCTCTTGCTTCTGGAATGGGACCCAGACCTGAAAAGAGAAAAAAATGTACAAGAGCTCTGTAAGTCTTGCCATTACTGCCAGTATTAAAATTCAGATTCTAAAATTCAACTGAGTGCTTTGTACAGCTCAAATATTACCAGTAAAATGGATTTGTGTTAAACTCTAAATGCTGAATCTTTCTCATGGTACCCTTTCCCCATACAAGTCAGTGCTTGTTCGCATTTTAAGTACTCCCTAACTTGTGCAGCACCCAAATATGTACTACTGCAACCAATAGAAACCTCTTGTTAAGAGTATTAGAGATGGAGTGGAAATAACAATAATGGGCCGGGAACTAGACTTTAAAGCTAATAAGAACACTAAAGGGATATGGCTATAAAGAACACTCAATAACTTGCTTAAAGGATTAATATAACTCCTGCCTAGGTTCCCTGACATTCTGCCACAAATGGAAAGACTTTTCCAAGACAAAATCAACCAAAACATCCATCTCTGCCCTGATAATTAGGATTCTATCTTATTATGGTATGTTTGTTTAACAATCAAATTGTGCTTTTTTTAATGTTTACTGTGATAGCACAGACAAAGCAGTGATCCAGAGATCTCAAACTAGACTTGATGGGGAATGTGTACATTTCTTTATTTTATTTTATTAATAAATAATTTATTTTCTAATGACAAATCACAAAACGAAGCATGTTTAAATGAAGGAACACGAGTGGGGAAAATAGGAACACGAGTGGGGAAAATAAAATATTATGAGAGATATCTTTCACCCCTTGGGAGATTAGATGTTTAATTATGTGCTAATTGTGTTCTGTATATTCTTTGTGAAATGTACTTGACCTTAAGATCATTAACAAGTGAATGTGGCTAAAAACTACAGATCTTCTGTTCTCAAGGCTTGTTGATGTTGACACAAGATGATGAGACACCATCAGCCCCCTCTGAAGTAAGCTGCTTGTTAACTGTACCTGGATCGTGATCTGCTTTTTGAATGGCTGCTTTTGGTACTGCCACTACGACTCCTGCTTTTGCGTGAATGTCTGCTTCGAGAGCGAGATCTGAAAATAAAAGAATTGCAGCAGCTGTTAACGGTCCAGAAGCATTTGGGTGGAATCACAGCACATGGCATAGTGAACTCTACGTACACACACACACACATTACTACAATGTGACAGCACTTTTCATGGAGTAAAGTTCTGAAAATATTTCTGATAGGCCCCAATACAACAGCATGGGCTCTCTCAAACTGCCACATCATGTATCCCTGCCAACAAAAGAATGCTATGGTCTCCTAAGCATCGAAAGCTGAACAAAACAAAAATAAGTTGTGCCACAGATGCAAGCAGATCAAAGAGAGATGCTGAATGGCACCACAGGGACATTTTGGAGGAGAAAGAACAACAAAATAGGGGTTGTGCTATGATCACACGCACAAAGGAGGAACCACCTGGTTACTACATACCAGGAGAAAAGGAACAGATACTGTTGTCTTTCTATGCCATCACTAGGCAGTCAAAAGATTTTAAATGCACCTGTTTTATTTTGTATTACGACACCCTTTAAAAAGGCAATATATTCTAAAATTTTGCCACCTCCTCCTCACAAATCTCAGTTGCTTAAGCTTCCCCAAGGGGGGAGGACAAATAAACCAAAAAAACTTCAGCTTGCAACACCCAACTTACTGGTTCTTGAGTTAGGAATAAACAGACCAGGGAAGAAAGATGGGAGTGTCTGAACACAAAGCTTGGAAATAGGATTAAGTAGATGTCCCACTAATTCTGTACAAAACGTTTGCAATGATTTATATCTCTTTTAAAATAAATACAAAAAATGAGTCAGTCCATCTATTGTTTCTTTCCACCTTTAAATCTATATACAAAAACAACACAAGCAGAATGCCTCAAGGGCAAGGGTCTCAAACATGCGGCCCGGCGGCCATTTGCGGCCCCCCAGATGAGTTTGTGGCCCTCGCCTTGCCTCCCCCCCAAAGCGCCCACACATCCTCTGCTATCAAGAGTTTAAAAAAAGCCTTGCCTCGCTCGCCGGCTCTCTCCCAAGACACCACCTCTTGCACCCTCCGTCCAGAACTGCAGCCTGCCAGCCAGCCCGCCTGTCTGTCGGCTAAGGAAACTACTGGGTGGCTTCCTTGGGCTCTTGCTCCGCTTGGCGGAAAATCTGATGCTGCCCAGCCTCATGCAGACTCAGCCTCCAGTGGCCCCCAGGTAAATTGAGTTTAAAACTCCTGATGTATAAGCTTCACTCCCAAATGCTGATGCACTCCCTGAGAGAGTTGTGCATATCCCATGGCTAGCAGTATGTCCCTAAAAACAGTGCCAGATGATAGTTTGTGGCCCCCGCCTTGCCTGCCCCCCATAGTGGCCACATGTCCTCTGCTGTCAAGAGTCAAAAAAAGGCTCGCCTCTCTCGCTGGCTCTCTCCCAAGACAGCGCCTCTTGCACCCTCCATCTGGAACTGCAGCCTTCCAGCCAGCCCACCTGTCTGCTGGCTGGCAGGCTGCAGTTCTGGATGGAGGGTGCAAGAGGTGCTGTCTTAAGGGAGAGCCGGTGAGTGAGGCGCATCGCCAGCCCTTTTCCCCAAGCGCCACAGCCAATAGCAGCTGCCACCACCACCTCTTCCAGGGAAGCGGCTCTTTGGCTCTCTTTCTCTCTTGGCATCCCCAGCACCAGCCCGGCCAGTGGCCACCTCAGCACCTGGTGGTGCTTCCTCCTCCTCCTCCTCCTCCTCTTTGTCCTGCTTCAGTCACCTCGGCTCTGCAGGCTGCCTGAACACACCTTGCAAAGTTTACTCCTCTCTCATGGTGGGGGTAAGGGAAGAAAGATGGGAGTGTCTGAACACAAAACTTGGAAATAGGATTTAAGTAGATGTCCCACTAATTCTGTACAAAACATTTGCAATGATTTATATCTCTTTTAAAATAAATACAAAAAATGAGTCAGTCCATCTATTGTTTCTTTCCACCTTTAAATCTACAGTATATTCAAAAACAACACAAGCAGAATGCCTCAAGGGTAAAGGATTACTGATACTCTACTGAATTAACAGGCAATAGACAAACCATGCAGTTCTAACCAGTTATTACTCACTTAGAAGTATGAGATAAACAATAATATGTAGAAGATCAAAATCCCACTGAACCTGATTCTCATTTTATAGACAGAACAAAGGTAGTCAGTTTATAATTAAGATGATACAGTAATAGATATACTGTATAACGGTTTATGTAAGTACAAGTAAGTATATATTGGTCTAACTATTTCAGCCTGATGTTACTGTCCCATATCATAATTGTAAAAATCCCTATTAGCTCAGTAATATCCAGTAAGGGTTGTCCAATAAATGAGCAGTCAGCTCATTTCAGCCATCTCACTTTTATGCTCTTCTTCCTTTACAGTGATCCCATTTGTCATTCTGGTTTAAGGCAAATCATAGGTGCCTTTTTTTTAAAAGCTGTGAACTTAAACACACAAAGCTGCCTTACGACCATTCACATTATACATCCATCTTGTTCAGTACTGTTTGTGCTAACTGTGACTCTTCAGGGCTTCATACAGGAGCCCTTTCTAGTCTTGTCAGGAGATATCAAGGACTGAATCCAAAATGTTCTTCAAATTCAGATGGTGTTCAACCACTAAGCTACAGATCTTCCTGGGCTGAAATTTCATTCCCATTCTTTTTTCAGAACAAGCCTAGTTGCTTAGAACAGTGGTTCTTAACCTTTGTTACTCAGATGCTTTTGAACCGCAACTCCCAGAAACCCCAGTTAGCACAGCTGGTGGTGAAGGCTTCTGGGAGTTGCAGTCCAAAACTCCTGAGAAAACCAAGGTTAAGAACCAGTGGCTTAGAATTTCATCTAAGATGGGATTTTTACATATAGGTCTTCTACCCCTTCCCATCACCTGATATCAACTCAGGTTTTTCTATTCTAGTAATACCCACTGGAAATCTGACTCTGGAAGCACCAGTTTCCCTATCTATCCAATGCCAAATTTGGGAACAGTTTCCACAATATCCTGGGATAGGGAGAAATGGTAAGCTCTTGTAGCTATAAAGGTTTCTGACCACTCTGTCAGGATGCACCAAACCATTATTTGTCTTGAACTATATTGCCATGCCACCAACATAAACCATCAAGATAGCTTCACTGTTTTATTGTGTATTATTATTTTTCAGAAACTGTATCAAGCTACTGACTGCCCAGTAGCAAACAGACGTACCTTGAATGAGTCCGACTTCGGGAATAGGAGCGGCGACGCCTGGACCCAGGCCTGTCTTCCACTAGTCTTATCTTTCTACCATTTACTTCTGTCCCATCCAACTTTTCAAGAGCTCTTTTCATGTCAGAATAGGATTTGAACTCAATCACACCTTCATTCTTTCTCCCTTTGTGTGCGTCAGCATACGTCACTTCACCTGCCTGACGCATATAATCCTAGGAGAAGACAGAGTACTGACTCTGAATATATTTATACCTTTGATCTGATGTTATCTGTTCTCTATCTTTTTAAATTTAAAAAGAAGCAGTCTTAATTTCTAGCAAGTCAAACATATTAAAGTTCACAAACCAAATAAATATGCATGTAAAAATACAGATTAAAATTAAAATGCATTAAAGAACAATAAAATGCCATAATATGTATGAAACAGTATTATTGTAGAAAAGAATCATCTGAACATGTCATATTATTGGGCCAGTTGACACCTATACTTCTTTTTTAATTGTATTATATAAAATTTACTGCTTTCTTTCTATACATGTAGGTGTGAATGTGAGGAAGATCAATTTATTAATGCCATCCTTATTCTGTTCTCAAATATATTAATTTCTAGTTACTACAGACAACTTACATTTTGTTAAATGTATACTGCTGCAGGAAGAACACAGAAAGTGAGTATCTAATGGACCAATAATCTGCAATGTAAGAGATACAGTGGTCCATTAACCATTGTATCTCTTGTAAAGTCAAAATGTTCCATGGAAAATTGGACAGCAGAAAGAACACAGAAAGCGAGTGTGCATCAGACCAAGTGTAGGTTACATTATAAAGCAGAAGTGGACAACTTAGAGCTCCCATGGATATTTTTAAAGTTTGAAGGCCTTGCAAGCACACACGCGCGCACACACACACACACCCATCACAGCAGTTTCACAACCATCTACATTTTTTCAAATACATGTCATCTTCTTCTGGTTGTTGCATAATGGTGGAGGGCAGGGTTTCACTTAACTGGGGCTTATTTCGGTGTAAGGTTTATATTATGTGCATCATGAAAAATCATACTAGGGCTTATTTTCAGCTTACGTCTTATTTTTGGGGAAACAGGGTAACATCCTCTACCACAGACATGCATCTTGGGCTAGAGTGTCATATACAGCGAACACAGAAAATGTTCTCCAATACTATAGTTTCTTTTAAATAATAATATAGTAAACTTTTGCTGATTCAAAGAGAAATTATTTCATGGCAGATTGTTCCTCTCCCCCACTTTCCATTTTTTTTCTGGGGAGAAACTGGAGAAAGACCTTTCTGCACTTTTTCTGTTCAGCCCTTCACCTATCTAGCTGTAATATTTCTTTTCAGATCACATCTACATTTTCTTGTCAAGCTAGTTTGTATGGTGGACCACCACTATTTGAAACAAGAATTTTACTCATTTTTCACTTCTTTAGGGAAAGGCAAGCTGCCCTTAATTCATAAGCACGACACAAATTCTGTTGCTGTTTTTTTTACACATATAAAATCATGTCATTTTTATTAGTTCCTTAGTTTAGGAAATATTATATATGCTGTTCTACGTTGAGTTTAAAGTTAATAATATAGCTGTTCTAGACAAGATAATGGTTGTTTTTCTAGCCCACAAGCCAAGAACAGACCTGGGCTTCAAAGCACAGTAAAATGTACATTTTCAAACTTTCAGCACCACAGGCAGAACCACAGAAATTGCATACCTTCAGATCCTGCCAACTGCAACGGCTTGACAGATTTTCAACGATCAATCTGTATTCTGTACGGGTCGGAGGACCGTACTTATCTCTTCCACTTCTTCTATAACCATATCCACCTTTAGAGGTGATAAGCAGATGCAATACTTCAGCTAATGAAGTGGAGCCAGTCGTTAATATACACCCCCCTCCCAATAAAAATAAAAACTAGTCTACCCAACAGTCACTAAGTACATTTAACTCCCCCCCACCCACTAATCTAAGCTACATTCTATTTGTTTTAAAATTTTACATTAACAATGCCAGATATTTTAAAAGGTCTATATAGGCATGTCTATAATATTAGCATATAATTACAAGAATGTATATTTTATATTTACTATTAAAACTGAACATGCAACTAAGTTAAAAAGAATTAACACTTTTGAAAACAGAATAACCAAATCACTATATTATTTACTAATGTTACTTACATTGATTTAAAGTTTTCTGAATATCTGACATGAATAAAGGTTTTCAGGCACCTATTCAGTTTAATCACATCTGTTTCTAACCCTTGGGGTCCTCACCACCCAGGTCTAATGGGAAAAGGTTGCGGTCGTCACATGGCTTCCTTTTTTGGTCAGCCAAGGGCCACAATGGTCAAAGAGCCACTCATGGAAAGGCAACCCAGGGTCAGCAAATGGAACAGGCAGTCATCTTAGCCTCAAAGGACTCTTAATTGAAACATTGAGGTCTTTGTTAAGTCTATGTTAAACAATCACATTACACATAAACCATTCATATATTTACAAAATAAAATAACAAAAAATTAAAGCTCATTTATTTAATTACATTTAAAAAGTTAAATACAAATTAACATTTAAATAATATAACTTTAATAAAAATTACATTAGTTAAAATGCACATTTTTTTTGTTCTATTTACATTACTGTTTTTAAATGTTTAAAATAGAAATCAAAGTCACCAATACAATGGTATGTTAGTGCTTACTGCGTCCAGAACCGTAACTGCTGTCACGGCGAGGGCCCCGGGCATGCTCAACAATTACACGTTCCCCACAAAGATCTTTGCCATTTAGCTCATAAACAGCGTCATCAGCATCACGTACATCATCAAATTCAACAAAGCCATATCTAGGGAGAGAAAAAAGTTGCTCCAAAATCAACCAGGTAAATCAGTTCTCCAGCAATTCCCTATGCTTCTGATGTATGCTTGACAACCTATATTAATATTAGTAGCAAGTTACTTTCAATTTTCTCTCCACATGTGCAAACACAGGAGATTTTTGGAAACAAGAATAGTATAGGAAATGGAAGCTGCAAGGTTGGTTGAAGAAATGCTCAGAGGAAATGTATTTACTATTAAGAAATGTTTAAAGAAAAAAATAGTCTTGATTGCTTGTACCAACAGGTTTAGAATTTTCCAGGCAGAAGAGTACACCAAGTATACTGCTCTCACCCTTCCTTACCTTATTTTTATTATAAATTATTAGACATATACAGTAGTATAAACAACATCCAACTCAGTACACCTCACTCACCCATTATGACCAAGAGACACATGCAATCCGCACAGTTTGCTGAAGTATTTTCTCTTCATTTTTTTTCCTACTTGGGAATATCTCACGGTCTGCTAATCTCTTATGCATAGCCCATGTTTTGCATATGTAAAGTCTAGCATTCAGAGAACAAAAATAAAACGTGTGTGTGCACATGCATGCATATATTACAGACAGTGGGATCTAATACAGTGGACCCTCGACTTACAGACGGCTCGACTTACAGACTTTTCGAGTTACAGACTTCTCTGGCTGCAAAATTTAGATTCGACTTGCAGCTGGAGAATCGACCTACAGACCAGAAAAAACCCAAAATGGAACAAAAATAGAATAAAAACCGCCAGTTATGGGATTATTCAGTTTTCAGTGCATTGTAGGTCAATGGAGATTCGACCTACAGACTTTTCGACTTGCAGCCACCGTTCCAATACGGATTAATTCCGTAAATAGAGGGTCCACTGTAGAACAGACTAGGACTTAAGAGACCTAGTTACAAATTTCTGTCCGGCCATGGAAATTCACTAAGAGGTGACTTTGGTAAAACTAATCCTAAACTTCTCACATACTCGAAAAACTTGTTAGGGTTATCATAATTTGGGTGCAATTTGATGATAAAGGAGAAAACTGAAGTGTATGTATTACGATGATACTCTGTGTTCTTTCTGACAGAGACTATGTTCCAGTTGTTTAGTCGTGTCCGACTCTTCGTGACCCCATGGGCCAGAGCACACCTGGCCTTCCTGTCTTTCACTGCCTCCTGGAGTTTGGTCAAATTCATGTTTTACAATCAGTGCACTGTTGATTGCCTGTTGTGTACACTTTTAAAATCACATTTTATGTGTTTTGACCATGTAGTGTGTTTTGTGGATTGGCTATACACTTTTGAATTGCATTTTGTGTATTTTGGCCACATGGTATGTCTTGTGAATTATTTGTATATTTTTGAACTGTATTTTGTATGTTTTAGCCATGGATATGTTTCATGGGCAGATCTGACCGTAATAAATAAATTCATTCATGTTGGTGACAGAGGATATAGGTAAAGGTAAAGGTTACCAATGACAAATTGTCCAGTCGTGTCCAACTCTAGGGTGCAGTGATCATCCCCGTTTCCAAACCATGGAGCCAGCGTTTGTCCACAGACAGTTTCCGTGGTCACGTGGCCAGTGTGACTAGACACGGAACGCCATTACCTTCCCACCGTGGTGGGACCTATTAATCTACTCGCATGTTTACATGTTTTCGAACTGCTAGGTTGGCAGGAGCTGGGACAAGCGTCGGGAGCTCACTCCGTTGTGTGGATTCGAACTGCTGATTTTACAACCTTGCAGTCCAGAGGCTTTGCGGTTTAACCCACAGCACCACCACATCCCCAGGACAGAGAATATACACCACTGTAATTTCAGAGAGGAAGTCCTATGACATTAGGCCAAAATGTTTTAAGTTTTTTCTAACTGGTGAGAACAAGATGCATGTCCTGAAAAAAAAAACTTGCTACCTTAAAAAAAAAAATCAACTAGCCAGCAAGTAACAATCCAAACTTGTAAGCAATACAGGATTCAGTAAGCATCTCTGGCTTTAGGAACATGAAGCAACAAAGAACAAAATGAAGTTATGCATGCTTGCAGAAAGTGCATGCTTGCAGGAGACCTGACAGCTCATGCTCAGTGTCATCATTGAAGGCACAGCGTGAACAGACTGCATGTTGTGCGCACTAACTTTTATGTAAGAAAATGAATGTTGTGCCAAGCATTTTCTATGGTGTGTCTATTTAGGTCTTTCACATAACTGACTCTATGGGGAAGTCCCTTTTTCTTTCTTCTACAGTTCTGATTTTTCAATACACTCCTTTTTCTGGGATTGTACCATAGTTCTTCCTATGCAGCTGAGAAAATCTGTGGGTCAAGACACTAAAGAACGGTGCCTTATTAAAACTCTGCAACACCGGCAGCCTCTCCTATAAAAGCATTATGTTTGAAGTTATCACTCAGTCTCATAAATAAGTGCTAATATTCTTAGATTCAAGTACCTAAACACCATTAACTTTAATAGTCACAAGCAAGACTGAGTTTCCACATAATAATGTATTTTCAAGTAATTTCTGACTTAAGGTAGCACTTTCCAGGGTTTTCTAGTTATAGATTATTCAAAGGTGGTTTACTATGCCCTTCTTTTGGGAGTGCCATGGGACAGTGCAGCTTGATCAAGGCTACACAAGCTGGCTTTTCTTCTCGGACACATACAGTACTGTGGAATCAAGCTCCCAACCCATAGCTTCAAGATCAGAGATACCTAACTCACAAGAGCTATCACGACCAGTTCCACATCCATAAAGTTTAATATAGGGAAATACTCAATGGGCAAAATTCCATTGTGTAACTTTGTGCTGGCCGTAACCCGGATTAGGTGCTAGAAATGTTTAATTTACACTAATTAAAATGTTTCTATACTCACATTTTAGGTTCTTAGGCTCCCTAGGTCTACCTTTGGCCTGGTTGAAACCTTTGGGACCCTTGGAACAGCAGGCAGGCAAAATATTGCCACTAGATTGGAAGCAGCAGTTTCGATTCCAATGGCAGCAAACCGACAGCAAGTTTTGACTTTTAAAGCCCCCCTTTTAGAGGCTGCCAAAGGCTTCCCCAGGACAAAAGGGAGGCCTAGAGGGAATCTAGAAAAGGGGGAGAGGACAGGAAGCTTTTAATTAGTGCAAATTAAGTTTCTAGCACCTGATCCATTTTACACCAAGTGCAAAATTATGCAACAGGAGTTTGTCCAATAAATACCACACTTCCAGGAACCTTATTATTATCTACGAGGCATCTGATATACAGTGGTGCCTTGCTTAACGAGGATAATCTGTTCCAGCGAAATCGCTGTAGAGCAAAATCCTCGTTAAGCGAAATAAAAAATCCCACTTAAACGCATTAAAACCTGTAAAGTGAGGAATCCGTCCCAAAACACAGCAGAGAGTCATTTTACACAGCAGGCAGCCATTTTAAAGCCACCAATCAGCTGTTTTAAAAACGTTAAAACTGATCGCCGCAAAGCGGATTTTGCCTATTAAAACATCGTTAAGCGAGGCACCACTGTATAGCAGATTGTGAATAAGTGAATCAAGGGATACTGATCCCACAGATATGGGCCCCCTGCTGTATATGTAAGGCTTTAATACTCTTAGTCTCAAAGATACATTAAGGTGTTTGTTACACAGCCTTTTTCCCCACATTTGCCCCAATTGCTATCGCAATTCTTTGATTTATTTCAGTAGAGCAGTCTATGTTGTTGGTAATTAAATGTATCACACACGTGCATTTTGGTCTATATGTGAATTGGTAAATATAATATTCAGCAAATATAATATTTAACAAACTCTTTATAAAGTTAGGTGAAATGACGACTGACTGATATTCTTGGATGAGAGGAGCCGAAGCTCATTTAGCTTTTATCTATTTTTAATATACATGTCACAGGGTTCTCAATCACAGGATGCTGACAGAGAAAACCAATTACCCTCATATCTAATTGATATTGATAATTAATCTGAAAGATTAACAAGTGTTAATAGTAAAAAAATAATAGTAACAACCCACTGACTATCTTATTATATTAGCTATCTTTTGCTACTTATAGAGTACTTAATTCATGTTATGAGATACTCCTATTAGACTATTACTTTTTGTGACACTACATTCACCTCTACCTATATTTTTCTGATGTCTTGTCTATGATGCTATTATCTGGGCAATGAAACTGTCTTAAGTGTTCTTTTAGTAGAATAATATAGTGTAAACAAATATGTTGTTGTTACACTCTGTCGCATCACCTCCAATTTATCATGATCCTATGAATGGGTGATCTCCAAAATGTCCCGTCCTCAACAGCCTTGCTCAACTTTTGCAAACTCAAGGCTGTAGCTTCCTTTAGCAAGTCAATCCATCTCGTATTTGGTCTTCCACTTTGCCTGCTGCCTTCAACCTTTCCCAGCATTGTCTTTTCCAGAGAATTTTGCCTTCTCACGATGTGCCCAAATTATGACAGCCCACGTTTCATCATTTTTGCCTCCAGATTAGAGTCTGACAATGTCATAACCCAGAATGGATATCTTTAATTTAATTAAACTTTCCTCCCCCTCTGGTTTCGAGGTTCCCTTGGGAGTCTTGGGATGGATAGAAAAGCCTTTAATATTGGAAAATTGCCATTGGCAATCCTAATCCTATAGCAGTACCACCACCAGAAATTTTCTGATATAAAAAGCCCCTCCAACCCTGGGAGCTCCCAGAGGGGGGAAAAGGGATCCCTACAGAGCCCCAAAGCCTGAAGAGCTTAAATTAAAGATGCCAATTACTGGATGATATCATACAGTTTTATACAGCCTAAATTTATGACAACTGAATTTCAACTAATACATGTTACCTTTAGCTCTACAGATATTCTATAAACTGAATCTTTGCTACCAGAAATATTGAATCAGAAGAGGTTTTGTCTATGAAAATGAAGAATCAATTGATTATTCTCCAAGTAAGAATATTTAAATTTCTAGCATCACAAGCATATAATTTTCAGCACAAGAAAATTAATTGGTCTGCCCAGTAAGTAAGAAATCATGG